CAAGTTACGCCTTTAAAATCATTAAAATAACTTTTCACTCCTAAATTTATTGATCTTAACAACTCTGACGCAGGAGAAAAAAGATAAATTGTATTGATTTTTGTCTTTGTGAAATTTTGCACTCACTTTCCCTGTAAGCTTTACACACTTTAGCGATTAGGTATCATCTTTCTTACTGCAATATTTACTTCTTTTTCTTGCAAAAAGATAGACTTTCGTGACCTCGATCATTTATTTGAGATGCCGTGCCGGAAGAAATATCCTCTATTCATTTATACAAGAAGCCGTGCTGGAAGAAATAGCCTCTATTACGTAATTAGTCCGTCAGTGTGAAGAGCTGCAATAAACTCCTTCGCTCTCAGCAGTCGTAGCTACAATTACCGACTCTGAAAATGTGTTCTTACAATACTTACTTCATACTCTCACTATGTAACCTTCAAATTTGTCGATTCAACATTTCGTTGGTTCCCGCGAAATTTAATTTCGTAATGATTCTCCGTTGTCAGAAAATTAGTTTAACGCATCGGTTTCTCGACAATTGCGTGTAAAATGAACGAGTCCAGGTTTAATTGTTCATCGATAACCAGTGTTGGCGATATTGGCTATACGGCTCCTTCATTTGACTTCAAAGCAAAGTTAATATGCAATGAGATTAATTTCTATCCTTCAATTATACGCGGGATTGAGCCGTTAATGCTGATGAAAAATCCGTGAACCTGACGCTACGTTTGATCGGCTGCGGTAATTTTAAACGCTGGTAATCGCTATTAATTGCGCGGACTCAGTATTACAGATCGCCAAAGCAAAGAGCGAATTCCATTTTTTTTCTATCGTGAAATTGTAACTTACGTTGATTAGCGACCAATTCGAAGAATTCGAATATAGCTTCTTCCCGCGTCTTTTATTACAATTTCAAGGTCGGCATTTCGCGTTGATGAAGAAATTTTATGGATTTTGGGTTTAAGTTGAGAATTGTTGTTAATGATTTTTAACTAGAGATAACGTTGCTTGTCTAATCTGTACATTTACTTGTATTGTCTGATCATATTCATGTGTTCTCCCCCTCAGTTATAAAGTGATTCTACTTTATACGTGACTTATAGAACATATACTGTAGTTATTATGTTTTGATTATACTAGAAGACGATACGAATTTTCCACCTTCAAGTTCATTGTATTTCCACCAACATTCATTTGATTTAGAACTTTTCACCTGCAGGATGATTTTCTGCATTTTTGTGTGGAATAACCAAGTCAGGATTGCATAAATACTTTTCAAAAATTTACAATCGATTTTTCGTCAAATGTTGTCCATGAAATGCCTAGTAATAGAAAAATATAGTCTATAACCAGTTTGTTACTAGAAACATCGAAAAGTTTCTTCCGAAGAATATTCTGTATATATGAGTGTTGAATATTTATTTTTACATAATGGTGAACATATTTTCCTTCTCATTAGGCATTTCAGCAAATTGGATGTCAACATATGTGTTTGTGAAGGCGTAATACGTGCTCCAATTCCTGCCTCTTGAGCGGAGATTGCAATCTTAGCCTTGTTTATCTTGTCACTTGGGTTTCCGACTCAATTCTTATGTCAAGAAAAGAGACTCTTGGATCTTGGTTAAGTTCTCGTGGCGAGACCACAGAAATATTTTGTTCTGAGAAGTACCGAAAACATGCGACTTTCGAAACTCCATATGAATGAAATATTCAGAAATATTTCTAGGTATCTTCACTATTGTGTGCCATGTGACCAAAGTACGCGGAATTACTAAATCTTGTGTAATTCCAACAGTCGCTAATTCAAAATGGATCAATATACCAATAATTATAGTCGCTGTGAAAAAGAGACACATTAGTAACTTGAGAACCATGGTTCATTCTGTGAATGTTGTGTTTAAATACGAGCATACTAACTGTGGTATTTTCATAATATTATGTTTTAGCCGGTTAGCCCGTATTTGCCTGCGAGAGATAATCATAGCAATTTGAGAATCCAAATCCCATCATCTCGAATCCAGCCATCCAGAACACCGTCAACCTGAATCCCGTCATCCTGAATCCCGTCATCCTAAATCTCGTCATCTTGAATCCCGTCATCCTGAATCCCGTCATCCTAAATTCCGTCATCCTGAATCCCGTCATCCTGAATCCCGTCATCCTGAATCCCGTCATCCTAAATCCCATCATCCTGAATCCCGTCATCCTGAATCCCGTCATCCTGAATCCCGTCATCCTGAATGCACTTAACAATTTTGAAACTATAGCGCTGTAATTAAAGAAAGGAAAATAATTGGATGCTAAATTTGCAGGGAACTCTCATTTAGGTTGCTTAATATCTTAGATGAAACTCGAATTTTTTATTTATGCACTTAATTCGCACTTAAACAAGAAAAAGTTACATTTTAATTTTTAAACCTACGTGTAACTCTCCCCTCCCTTTTACACAGTCATAGCATTCCACCATTACGATTAAAATGCTCAGGTAATATTCCGATATGATAAGAACCCGGCATACGCTACCGTTCGACGCAGTGCCAGTCTTCAAACACTCGTACAAACTATGTATATAATTTGAATTATTTATTTTTATATTTAATAATGGGTAATGGTCAATAATAATAATTCCTGAGTAATAGAAAATTACTCAGGAAGTGCAATCTTTCTCGTACACAGTATGATCACATTCTTTGAATCCAGCATTGGTGGCTATGTCGCTCCAGATATGACCTTTTCCCCCACATCCATGGAGGGACGGAGGCGACCTTAATCCAACTGTTCAGACCTGGCCTTCGCCTGCATGAGGCGCGATTAGTCTCCCATTCAGCTGAACCAACCACTAAATGCTCGGTATTGTTGAAGTCAGGTTATACAAATTCTATAGGACTAAGTCGAACAAATTGCTATCTGAATTGTTCAACCTTCCTCCTTCGATTGAGGTGCTAACGGAAATGTGCTGATAATTGACGTAAGGTCTCATCGATTGACTGATGTCTCATCGTCGTAACTTTAAGTTGACTCTCAACTTGGGATGGCTGTGAGGAATTTTGGGAAGAGTCTTTAAACAATTTTGTTAGATTTAGTAAATATTGAAAACGCTAAACGGTTATGACTGACCATAATGCGCGATAAAAGTCCTGATAATAATGCACAGAAAGTGACTAAATCCACTTTGGGGTACTATTTATTTGCGTATACTGCGGCAGCATGAAGCCAAGAAAATAATTACATTTTTCTAAGAACAAATAATGACCTGGAGTGAAACATATCCCTGCCTAAATAATCTGACTAATTTTTTCTTAATTTTAATATTTCTATCGCAATAAAAATTCGTTCCTGGCACTTGCGCTGGCGTCACTGCCTTCAGCAAATAGAAGCGCCCTAGGGCAGCAGAAATTCAAATTAAGACCAGTAATTTGAATTATCGCTTCCTAAGGTCACGTCCTAGAGTAAATTTCCTGAAAATGAAAAATAAATTCTCGAGTTCCGTGAAATCCCTGTATAAATTAACTCTTTACTTAATTCAAATCCTTGAAATCCTGCATTATTAAATCCCTTCACGGCCACCATTAAATCCCGACGCTATTGATATTCCTGTACCGCCAACATTATATAATTTTACGGTCACTATCAAATTCAAGTGCGGTCTTCATTTAATCACTGAAAGGCTGAAAGGAAGTCACTATATCCCTACATGGCCATTATTAAATCTTTACTCTGTCAATATTATATTCATGCAAGGTCATCAATACATCCCAGCACAGTCGTCATTAAACCCCAACAGGGTTGTCATCAAATCCATGCACGATCAGCCTTAAGTCATTACACGGACATCATTTTGTCCTGAACGGTCATCATTCTATGCTTGGATGGTCGTAATTTAAGAGGATATGCAGTAATAGGTTTATTCATATAGTTAAGAGGCATAAAGTCAACACTGGTAATGATTAAACCGAAGCAAAATATGCATGTTAAAATGATTTTTTTATAATTTTCCTACCGAAACCACAACGTTGACGGATGTAAATTCTTACTTTTCCTGGTTTTACCTTGAAACTCTGGTTTTCTGTGTTGATTTCTATCTAAATTTTTAATTTGTTCCTGATTCTCAGGAGCGTTGAAATGTACACAAATATTTGCTGTCAACTGAGAAATTTAGGAACAAAAAATTATATTTTTCCATTAAAGTTTCATAGTTACTCTTATAACAAATAGATCAATTCTGAAATTCCTTCATACTTTTCGGAACTCCAATGCAATTCATTCAAAAAAAGACAGAGATCAAAAATGATATTTTTCGCAATTAACTGATAAGATATAACGAAGTTATCTAATTCTGCAATGAAGTATAGCGAATAATTCAATAACATTCTTTCATTTGTTCATTACATTACATCATTAGTAATTTCATAATAAAAAATTCCTTATGGACCTTCAAAATTTCGCAGATAACGAGCGGATAGATGCAATTTGAACAATTCATTTTTTCAAGTTAATCTAAAATTACTTCCAATAATAATTATATTATTATTGATTTTCACTGCTTAAAAACTATACTATTGTAATTTTTTCTCACAATTGTGATGAGAACGCAGCGAGTCGCACTTCAAGAAGCAAGAAGGAATCCAATTTCAATTTTCTCGTGCGTAAAATTTAATCAAAAATCCTCCTCCTGACTATCTGCTGTCTAGGGCAAGCCATTTTGAGTTATTGTGCAATCGAATTTCAATGCCTAGTACGTTTGATGTATTTATCCGTTATCAATGGGTTTTATCGAATGTAATTTGAATCAAGATGGCGAACATAGTAATTCGCTCGTTTACTGTTAAATTTTTAACCTGACGGTGTAATTTCATACAAGCTCTTTTGTTTCACATGTTCGTCAATCAAGAGTATAATAACCAATCAAAATTTTAAGCTAGTTTCAGTTTACGGGATCAAAACTTTGATTACAAAAAGTGTAATCTACAAAAAGTAACTCAATGACCCTTGCCCTTAGTTTAAGCTGTCTTTTCTGTGTTTTGGTATAGTTTAGGTTTAGTGGTGAGCTTATAATGAATGACCTCGCCGGCAAAGAGCAGAGTAGCACAAGCCTCCAGCACGGCCAGCACCAGAAACACTCCCTGCAAGTGGTCAACCCGCAGTGCAGTCTCAGCTCGTACTTGCGTCTGCTGCAGGTTGCGCCGCTCGAAGTCCCGTCCCAAGAAACTCTCGGTCTTTTCCTGTAATTGAGAATATTGTACTGCGGGAAATATTTTATATTTGATTCTATATGTTAAGTTCCATTGAAACATTTTATAGCATTAGTTTGTTTTACCTACCACGAATAAGTCGAATGTTGAATCAAGCTTTCAATTATTTTATTCACCAGATTTAAACATAACGTACTAGATTTGTCAAATGAACGTACATTCAGTGACCAAATTACTGGAGCGCTTTCAAACTGCGTTTATTTATTTTGGCTGTAACTCAATTTGAACATAAATCACACTTGATCTACGTTAAAAAAACATAGATAATCATGTAATTTGTTAAGAGATTTTCAAAACCAATCCTGAAAACTCTAACAACGAACGCATAAAATTATTTAAGATTAATTTCGGCAACATTTATAAGTTTCGGGCAGAACTTCGCAAATATATTATCAACTGGGGACTCTAATGTTCGGTGTCCAGGGGCCATTCATCACTACCCTGGCACTGCTGATAACTGAGCTTGCGCTGCAAAAAAAAAACGTGTTCTCTCGTGAATTCTATCTTTGCGTTTCAAATTTAGAGTCTGAATCCATCAAAGGAACGATGAGCTTTGAAATTTTTCAGTCTGTAAAATTCTCATAAGACTGCCGGAGTATGATTTGAATAACTGACTGACTGAACCCTTTGGAGTGTAAATACCTAGAAGGCAAATCATGTCTAATTATTTGTAAAAAGAAACGCAACTCTTGCCGCTATACGCTCTGACTGCCGCTCCGCAACCGCAGCTCATGACTTGATGTTATGTGAAGCAAATTATTCAATTGACTTTATTTAGCTGAATATATTCACCGTTGAATAGTTTGCAGAAGCCATAGCTAATATTTTAGAAGAGCAGATATTTCGTTGACTGGCATTTCTGAGAAGAATATTTGAATGTTCTACGTATTCTAGGGTTAGAGACAGAATAGGGTATTTGAATCAGACGGTATCTGTGTCTGTATCAGAATATTTATTGAGCGAGTAATTGTCCACATTGTATGATGCAAAAGCTGGTTTTAGATATTTTTATATTTTTTAAGACGTTTCGATTATACAATATTCAATTTAATGTGAACAGCATAGATTAAGCAAAAAAATTTATGGTTTTGAGTAATTTTGCTACAAAAATTTAGTACCGGTATGCAGGATTCGGCTTAAAAAAATCTTTCAAGCCTCTTTGAAATTATTTTCTAAGTACTGACGAGTTCGGTAGTTTGTGCGTTGATGGCTAGTCTCGTTTAACATGATTAACCAATTCGAAGCTTGATGAACGTCTTCAAACTGATCGAAAGTACATATGCGTATTAATTTAAACGCCTTCATGATAATTAAACTGCTGGTTTTCTGGGAAATAAGTTTCGTGAAACTATAACTTGTATAGGTTATGCATACACTCAAAATATCTAATAAAAATTCGTAGTGTGTGCACGTGTGTTCAGGTACGGAAACTTCTTTCGTCGAATCTGATTCAAATAGTCATAATCAAACGCACGCAGCGAATGATTTTCAATCATTCAGTTTTGGCTAAAAATTTACAACAAAAAATTAATAGTTTGAGTTGAATGCTCAAGCTTAGCAAGTTATTTTGTTGCTATGTTCAGAGTGTAGGGAATGTGTTGACGTTGAAGCTTTGATCGCACTTCGCACCGGTTTAGGATTTACTATTTCTCTTTGTGATAAGCTCGAGCGCACCCAGTTAGTGCCTAACTTGTCTGGCTGGGGACTAAATTCGACCTCGATAAGCTGGGGTCTGAACTCAAAATCGCTCAGCTTTGAACTGAACTTTTAAGTCCAGCGCACCTAGCTGGGGTATGGACTCCCCCAGCTGGGGTATGGACTCGTCCAGCTGGGGTATGGACTCCCCCAGCTGGGGTATGGACTCGAACTCGTCCAGCTGGGGTATGGACTCCCCCAGCTGGGGTATGGACTCGAACTCGTCCAGCTGGGGTATGGACTCGAACTCGCCCAGCTGGGGTATGGACTCGAACTCGCCCAGCTGGGGTATGGACTCGAACTCGTCGAATGCTGAATTAACTCTTAATTAACTTGAACTCACCCAGCTGGGATCTGGGAACTAAACTCACCATGCGATTGTAAGACCAAATTCAATTGAAAAAAATTCAATTTTCGTGACGAACGTCGCGAAATTTCAACTAAATTGTATAAGTTGCACGCTAGTGACATCTTATCTCACCGTCAGCCAATGATTGACTAGCCCCGAGTCGACTAGCCTCTGGATCCCATCATCAAACTTGTACACGTAGGGAGTGTTCTTTTGGAAATACCAGCACAGGTGACCGGGGAATAGCTGCTCCTTCAGCATGTAGGAGTTATTCGCCTTTAGGGTAAATTCAGCTATAAGAAACATAGATTAATTATATACGGCAACTTATCTTCCAAGAAAACGTAAAATTTCAGGTGGTTGACATAATTGTATCTATTTTCCAAATTTATTACCTATCCTAGAAGCACGTATACGTAGAAAGGCCTCTAATTACGCTTTATCTACATGCATATATACTCGAAGTGATTGATCAAGGTTGATACTCAACTAAACGGTATCTTCTTTTAAAAATCGTTCACATCTCGTTAAAAAGGCTTTTGTAGCATTTGCCCACTTTTAATCATTTATCGTAATAAATTAAAACATAAACTTACTGTGATTTATTGTATAATACATTAACCTTCAATAGAAATTCACTGTCCTACTCCAGAAATTTTCGCAATTCGGTTCAAGTTATCAGGACACAGGAAGTCATCATATTGAACCTGATCCGTTGACCGCCGCGAAAAGTGAGTTAAATAAAAACTTATCCAGTTCAGAGCCAGTTCGGAAATTTCAAAACCAAATGCATTCTAAGAATAGTGTTTTGGGTTCGTTCGTAAAACTCATAATTTTACTTTAATTGAGAAACGGCTCCAGGAAAATTCAACTACCATATACTGAGAACACGTCTAGCGTGAGCAAGATGGAAGAAATTAGAGAGGAGAGTTACCCCACTCTACCCTACAAGATGAACGAATAAAGATAAATCAATAAACAGCATGACAAGCTAAGCTATGAGCGTTGATGTAGCTAGTATGTCGCCGATGTACAGCTTAGATGCAAATCTATAACTCACCCGACCGTTTCCTGGAATCTTATGTCACAACTTCTTGATAAGTAAATTGGTAATAATAATAATAATAATAATAATAATAATAATAATAATAATAATAGCGGTTGCAGCGTTTATTAGGCCGTAGGCCTGTCGCCGATTCTTAACATCGCAACATTCACAGCATTTTGCGGTCTCGAACTCGCAACTCACTGCTGCAATTTTGCTTTGCTTAACCGCCCGACCTCCTTGCCGATTCTGACCAGAAACTGGCGCACAGAGCTGGGATCGAACCCGCGCCTCTCTGCTCCAATCTTGGTACTCTGAACTTTAACCACTGCGCCACCATGCCCGTGTAATGTTAATAAATACCTTGAACTCTGTAGCCACTACGATCCTGTTGTACGAGAAGCTCTCGACGTGAGCGTGCGTGCCGTTGAGCATAGGATAGACCGCCTCAGCGTAGGTAGGGTACAGTTCCAGACGAGCTCTGATGCGCCGATACATCGGGTCTGTGGAAGACGCTAAGGCCCCTGGCACGAATTCCCCGTAGTCGTACATTGAAATACTGGAAAAACCATAGTCATATCAGACCATTATTTCATCCAGGTATTGAAAGATAGAATAATTCACTAGTAATTTCATTGCCTTGTCAGAACCACATTATTGTGAGTCACTATATTTATTTATTTCCATTTTGCAGTGGACGTCGTTTGTGGTATGCAATCTAAGTTGGACAGTCAAACTCCTCTCTATAGGTTTGCAGTATGGGCATTACTCCTGACCTAATACGCATCATATTTTGCATCAATTCGTTGCTATAAATGTATATTTTATTTCTATAAAATTATCTGAAATCAATTAATCTCAATGAAGCAAACAGACCCGAATTTTAAATGAAGAAAATCGTAATTCTAAAAAGAAAAATTACCCATGACGATTTTTAGGAAGACAATAAAAACTGAATCATGCACTCCTTACACAGTGGCACAGCTTTTACAATGAATTTCTGTACTCGTGCATAAATCGAATTGATAAAGATTCCATTTCATACAATTAAACACAGTTTTCAGTAACCTTCTGACTTTATAAGCTCGTATACTTTTTTTTATTTTTGCCTCGTAACTTAATTCGTACTCTACTTAAACAGTTATTCAGCTTAAACAGTTCTCTGGCTTAATAAGCTCCTATAATTTTTTCTTTGCCTCGTAACTTACCTCGTACTCTACGTTTCTGCTAAGATTATTGCCAGAGATGAACAACTGTCTAGGCCAAAATTTAATTACACGAGGCTTCCAACCTGTTGACCAGTTCATTTAAACATGGATTAATCATTCAAGTATTCTGCCTATAATGCACACTCACCCGTAGTGACTAAGAGCGAGCTGCTCCACAGTTTGGATCCGTTTTGGATACAGCGGTACCGTAAGAAATGCAATGAGGTTAGCGGTGTACGCGAGCGCAACCACCATGCAAAACAGGAACCAAAATCCAATGAAAATTTGCTCTGGTGTTTTCCGTGGAAGCCTCGGCCACGCGATGTTCAACATGGAACGAAATAAGTGCAGCCAAGCTTGCCAATCTGTTGTGTTGGCTGGATCGTCTGAGTGCCTCTGGGGAAAAATTATACATGAATATGCATGACAAATCATAATGAATAAGCTCAAGGTTATGGTAAAAACTTCAAGATTAACTTTCCAATGAATTCGTGCATTTACTAGCATCGTGGCACAACAAAGAAGCTTTTAACATGTTTTTAAATAAGTTATATTCCAATTTAATAACAAATCTGATTTTATTTCAAAGGATTTTATGACCCACCAGTATTACGTAAAACACAACCGATATTATAAACGTCAAGAAGAGACCCATCCAAACATGAGCAGTGAAGGGGTAGTAGAAATTCTTCCACCTGGGAAAAGGTGGCGGAGCAAGCATGGATATGCCGAAACCTTCATTCCAATACGACACAGTCGAGTCAAATGCAGCTCGTCGCTGGTCAGTAATCACGAAGAAATTCACTGTGAAGTTCTTTTCCTTGCGGTAAACCATTCCCAGCATTCCATTCCAAGTTCCGTTCTCGTATGCCCCCCACTTCATATCCGACGGTTCCTCAGTAATAGTGTAGGAGAAATTCAAAACTTTGCACAAGGCATTCAACATCTCGATTTCTACACCTTCTCCTTCTCCTTTAGGGCCACTTCTCGATTGAAAAATGTAGGGTTTATCATCGAACCAAGTTGCCAAGTGGAAAGTGTAGCCGTCGAAAGATGGGTAGCGATCACGGAAAATATCATCGAAATTCTTGAAAGTCATAGAGCTCCAGCGCCCCAGGGTTTGTACTTGCTTCTTGAATGGTAAATAAGTGTAAACTATTCCATGCGGTTGGCACTGCAAAAGGATCAATTTTTTCACCCTCAGAATCGCCTCCTGCTGAAATAAATCTTGGAAATGTCTATCCCCCAAGGAAAATAGGATTAAATAATCAGGGTTCCACTTCAAATCTGATTCTTCGAATATAAACTCTTCAAAGTTGTTGTTTATAAAGAATATGTGCGTGAGTCGAGGACCTTTAACATTTTGAGGTCGTTGGCGTTGAAGCCAGTTCTTCGCTTCAAATTTATTCACTGTAGAAATGACCACCCCCTGGCTGTGGTTGGATAAAAGTTGAGTGATGACTTCTGTTTCATCAATGGTCAAATTCTGGTCGAAGAAAGCCATCAATTGTTTTGATCCAAGTGGGCCAGCCAACAGTTGTTCTAGGATAACATTCCACGGAATGGATAATTCATCTATTGACTTCTGAGCCAACATCATATGCAGACTTGATAGAAAAGCCAACACAACTAACAAAGTTTTGTCTCTTTCAATAACTATCATGATGCTAGAGGTTAACTTTCCTACGAAAATCTGAGCGGGACTGAAACGAGTTGAAGAATGAATGGGCGTGATGCTTATCCATTGGTTTTATGTCACCATGCCACCGTTCCGATATTCATCACCAATTAGCTTAGCATAATTTTTTGCACACTTCCCTAGTTTTGGTGATTACAGTTGAAGGTCATTAAGGATCAGCCTAGGGGTTCCTCACAAAAGACCTATGACTATGCAAAGCAAATGTGTGTGTGTTGATGCACGAGCACGTCGTGTGCTAAGACAGATAATTTCCTAGTCCATTGCACCCATTTTCTTATTTCTATTGTTTTTTTGTGAGTGTATGATTGAGGTTGACAATTTGCATCTGAAAGTACTGCAGTTGACACTCAGGCGATTGAATAGAATTATTCCAATAATCCAAGTTTGTTCAATCAACCTCAAAAATTTTATGACATTTAACGCACAAACGAGAATGGACGCTAGTCAAGTCAAAACATCATCGCTTCCGAAGTTTTAAACAACATGAAATTTTGGAAGTAGTAGTATGCATAAATCTCAAACGTTGATCAAATAATCGCTCAAGAACAGAAGCATATTTGAATCCATTTCAAGGCAGCAGAGAATAAACGCTCAACCAACAGAAACAAAAATATACACAGTAATATGGGATGCGTGGTAAAATTGTCAACATCAAGCTGAAAAATAAACTTCGAGTAAAATTCAACATGAAGTTGAAAACTGTTAAAGGCATTATTGATTTTTGGTGACTCATCTATTATTCAATCATGTATAAGAATGCAATTTCATTCGATACTTGGTTGCCTTAAATTTAAAATCGTCAAGACAGTTTGTTCCTACTACTCTTGTTCAAATTTTTTTTATAACTGATTACATTAAAAAAATTCACTGCTGCATTGGATAATTTATTTTTCATTACCTTTAGCCCTCAGCTTTGCTCGCTTAACTAAACTCGTTTGTGTTAATGACATAAATAAATATAAGAGATCCCCCCGACGCTCTATTAACTTTTCTGTCGAGCGCTCGTGTCATGTATTTAACTCAATCAGGTTCCAATTTCTGACACAATTGGCAGTTGAATTTATAATAGAACATTGGATTATTTCCTGTAAAGTGCTGTTCTTTTCGATCGCATCTCATTTGTGAAATGATTAGGTAAACGGAGCGAATTCAGTTCTATTTTCACCGCTTAATTATTAATATTTAACGTAAAATGATTGATAACTTAGTTGATATGCAAGCCTGGTAAACGTAAGAAAGTATGTCTTTACATTTAAATTTTACTTGTAAATTTAATTACACAATGAAGAAACATTATGTTTTTTGTAATTCAAATCAGCAAATCAGATACAACGATTTCAAAAATTTCACCTTAGAGTGTCTTCCTCGATATTTCAAGATTGAAATAATAGGTGAATATAACTGCTCAGAAATTATTAAACTACGACATAGGCGGTGAAGCCAAAAAATGTTTACCTATTTGCCCTGACAAAAGCTGGTTTACGAGTGCAATAACCGCCCTACGAACAAAGATTGACTTGACGCAAATGGCAATAAAATTTCCGCTATACCGCTAGCTATCATGGTGCAGCAGCCACCACTTCCGTATTCATTAGTTTCATACTTTCATAAACGTTATTCCGAACTAAAGCGGTGACGTCTATTCCAACATTAGGCACAAATAAACTTTTCTTCCTCAAGTTTACTCGTTCTGAACGAAGAAAAATTTCCACTCAATTTGTTTTGCAGGAGAACCGAAAGTTGGGCTGAATGGAGAAAGTTGGTTCTGTTGTCGCAAACGTTTTTGGTATAACATTGAGGGACATGAAGGAAATAGCTCAGAATTACGCAATTGTGTTGATTTCTGTAGGATTCTAGGCTCCAGAATTTTTGTGACCAAAAATATGAGTAGAATTTCATTACTATTAGAAGCGGCTAAATTGTCACTTAAATTATTAAAACATATTGACGTCTTGTCTCACTACCGAAAACTTTCAAGCTATTTATCAGTCTTCAACATATTAATAGTAAGATCCTACTGATATTTTTATTTTATAGGGTGTTAATGACTGCAAATGTATTGAAAGCATTACATCTTCAATTGATATTTGACCGGTTGAGAATCGCTGGTAAATGTAGCCAACGTGACAACTGATTTCCGGTGTTCATATCTAACATTATTTTAATGATTATTTAGAAGAGTTCAAAGTTCAACTCCTATTTAGATAATCCGAGTTTGATTATCATTGTCCGTGATACCAATATATATTGCTGCGAGAAGCTATAGGTGAGATGAATAACTCCACGGAATTAACTCCCTATATTTTAATTACTATCCCTAACTATGTATTGGGTCTATAATTATAATTATCCCTAACCGAGTAGGCGGTCATGCGTGCTAATCAATTTTAAACTTCCGTAGGAAAGAACTAAAATAAATTATCCTACCGTAGTTTCGAATGAATATTGTTTTCATCCGGAAAATTTTAATTTATTTTTCGTGTAAAATGTCAGAAGAGAGTCAAATCGTAAAATAAGATGCCTGTTGACTTAGCAACTTCAAATAATACTCACTACAAAGAAAAAAGACGATGCAGTACCATTATCAAGAATCAATCCGATTCTAGCTCGTAACGATCATTTCCTCTCGTGTTATTTTTTCATTCTTCAATGCATTTAAAGGATATTTTTGTTGTTTTGCGGCAGTGGCAATGCGATCATTCATTTGGTGCACGTCGCTTGCTCCAGCCGCGGCCAGTGTGTGGTCAGACCAGGGAAGGTTTATGTTGTCTCTGCATTGGCATTCCGGCGACGCAAACGCTTCCCTGGTAGATTTGTTGGACACTGAGAGAAGAATTGACGATGTACACGAGAAAAAAATGTTCCCACACAACTTCCGAATTCAGTGAGAATTTGTGAGCAATTTTCAGGCAAGGTGTTTTATGGTGATGAAAGTATAGAAAATTTCATGACAAAGCATGCTATATATAGTGCGTATACCTACGAATGTGAAAATGATTTTTAAAAGGGATTAGTAATTCTATCGGATGACTCGGAAAACAGTAGGAATTAGTTTTTTCACGAACAAAGACTAATTAAGCGAACTTATTTATCATCAGATTGGACAAGCGAATTTTTTTCACTCAATTATAAAGCCCCATGCGAGTTCGGACGATTATTCAGACTGAAGCGACTCCGAAATGTAACTGGTGTTATTGAATTTTTAGTTCAGAAATCATATAAATTATCTGATTATATTAATGTATGAGATAGTATCTGATAGTATCTTATCTTTTCTTTTGTATTTCTGAAAAATAACTTATACTAAGTAAGGCAATAATATACGCTTTAGTGATTATGTCTCATGAATTTATGAAGTTGCATTGAAAGGACACCGTAATTCCCGCAACAGTCGAGTAGAAGCGACGAGGATACAATGAAGAAAATGTGAGGCGGCATCACTATTTACTCCCTTAAGAACCATGGCAAACCGAAATCATTAAGGATGTCATTATTTATGGGCTATGTTCTGAGCTTAAACAGTAAATTCAACAAAACGTTTCTATAGAATTTTGCCTCAGCACTTCTCGGTGATTGTATGAAATGAGTCAATCCAGTTCAGTTTAAAAAAACTGCGAAACAAATTTCACTAACGAGCATGCATTGCTGGTATTCATCGAAACTAAAATAGGTAAATTCATTCCCTGCGACAGAACATTATCCTATTGAGGAGCAATAGATGCATTATACCATTTTTGGCGGTTACTTTAGGTCATATCGATCTTGTACAGCCATCAGTTCTCAACGACTCTCATATTGTATTGCTGTTATATTAGTTCTTTTTGTCTGAATTCATGATTATTTTAGGCTCTTATTATATTAGGATCTATATGTATGCTTTTCATCCCAATTTATGCCTTTGGTTTTCTTCAATATTATGCTCATAACAGGTAATATATTTCATGAGAAAAATTGCGACAATTAACCTCTCGATTTCTTTTTGAATTCATTTGTATGTATTTTCCGCTGTCCTATGGTTAATATTTCTGTTCGTCTTTAATTTCAGCTCATTTATTTATTTAGTGTTTCTCAGTTTACTGTTTCCGTGTTGCACAACTTACAACCATCATCACATGACCGCCACCACAGCGACGATGTCCAGACATGACCGCCACCACAGCGACGATGTCCAGGCATGACCGCCACCACAGCGACGATGTCCAGGCATGACCGCCACCACAGCGACGATGTCCAGGCATCGATGTCCAGGCATGACCGCCACCACAGCGGCGATGTCCAGGCATGACCGCCACCACAGCGGCGATGTCCAGGCAGCTTACACAGGCAAAGCCTCCTGCCTCCTCAGCCAATAATCGTGTCGCGGCCAGCTTAGGCCAGGGAAAGTTTCACAAAACTCAACT